TTACGATCAATTGTAATAATTGAGCATCATCTCAATCACTATCAGATCACATTGAGGGAGCTGCTTGAGAGCACCCTTAATTGTAGATATTAAGAGAATACAAATAAAAAAAGTTCAACGATTTTGGTCAGGTGAGTGCTGAGATATATTCGATCAAGGTTTTGTAAAATTTCAAACGCCTATTATTAAATAACTGTATAAAGATTTGTTTTTAAACTTTGATCGAAGGTATCTCAGCACCTACCTGACCAAAATCATTGAACTTTTTTCTTTTTGAATTCTTTTAATCTCTCAAATGAAAAAAAGAAAAAATTCAGTAATTTTTGGTTAGGTAGGTGCTGAGAATTCTTTGATAAAATTTTCATAAAATTCTATAAAGATTTGTCTTTAAGCGATTGAAGATATCTTGGCATTCACCTGGCCAAAATCGTTGAGCTTTTTTTTTTTTTTTGAATTCATTTAATCTCTCAAATAAAAAAAAAGTTCAACAATTTGGTCAGGTGGGTGTTGAGATATCTTTGATCAAAGTTTGTAAAATTTTAAACGCCTATTATTTAAATAAGATTTGTCTTTAAACTTTGATCGAAGTTATCTTGACACTCACCTGACAAAAATCATTAAACTTTTTTTTTTTTTTTTGAATTCCCTTAATCACAAAAACATTGTTTTTGACCACTTGACCCGTTCTTATTGACCCACCCTAAAAAAAAAACATCATTTTTGATCCATATAGTATTATGATCATATTGTCATATACTGCGAAATTTATAAATTATATGTACTGTACCATAGATCAACCGTACAACAATAATAATATTTTCGTTCGACTCTAATCTAAATATTTGTTTCGTCTTATTTTTTTTTTGCTATCAAACCATGTAAATAACTTTTTTTTTATTTTGTTCAGTGTTATTACTCAAATGAATATCTTGTTCAAGGCAAGATTTTACAAAGTCACATTGCTTCCAATCGGTCTGTTTCTTTCAAAAAGCCTTTCAAGTTTGGATTGTATAATATTTTTGTTGGATGACGCTGCATTAATGCTACCTTCACGTTGAATAGACTACATATTAAAGGTTTATAATTAACACACTATATAGCATATATGAACAAAAATACTTGCCACCACAATCTTTAGCAGCCGCCTTCACTGGAACAAAACCAGGTCCATCAAAACATGAATATCACCTTCGTTTCCCGCATGTATTTGTTGAATCAGGCATTTTCCATTATCAGTAAGTTATAGAATATCATCAAGATGGTTTGTTGATTTACTTTCACCTTTTTTTAGTCTTCCAAACCTTCTACATGCACAACTATCACAAGCCCTGTTTTACCGCTTCATTTACACATTTTCGGCTTTGGACATTATGACAGATATTTTTTGATATAGGAAGCGAATAAAGGTAACATTCTACTTCTCACCCAAATGGTAGTTGAAAATTGCCATTACTATCTATACGAAAAGGATGTGAAGTCATCTTGCACGAAATTAATTATAGATTTATTATCAAGTGATATCTACTTTATCGTAGACGTGTTGCAATGGACATATAACTTGGGAATTTTTCGTTAGTCAAAAAAATCATGTTCTTTAAAATATTTATTATTACGTATACAAATTATTTATGCTAACTTCAATATACTTTCAATTTATTACACCGTAACTTCAATTCATTACAAATTAATTATGCTGTAATTCTAATTCCGACACATAGTATCGATTTTGGTCACGATTCATTTTGATAAAAGACCGAATATTGTTGTGTTACATGTATGAGTCAAAAACGATAGGGGTTTTTTTTATGGGTCGGGTCAATAAAGATGGATCGGGTAGGTCAAAAACAATGTTTTTGCGATTAAGAAAATTCAAAAAAAAAAAGTTCAAACGATTTTGGTCAGGTCAGGTGGGTGCTAAGATACCTTCGATCAAAGTTTAAAAACAAATCTACACTGTAGTTATTTAATAATAGGTGTTTGAAATTTTACAAAACTTTGATCGAATTTATCTCAGCACTCACCTGATCAAAATCGTTGGGCTTTTTTTTGGTTGAATTCTCTTAATCTCTAATATTAAATCAAAAAAAAAAAAAAAATTCATCGATTTTGGTCAGGTGGGTGCTGAGATATCGTCGTTTAACCCTGTATTGATTTCTGGTCTGGGTAACACAAATCGGAATATAGGGTGAGTGACGTATAGAAATTCCGATATGAAACAAAGAGACATTTTAAAACTTTCGTTTAAATAATACCATTGTGAATTTCTGATCGCTAAGAGATTTAAAACTTTCACCCTAAGCAAAACTATTGTGCAGGCTAAAGAATTATTTTAAATCCAGTGTAAAAATTTAAAGTGCACCTGGAAAAATAACGGGAATAACAAGCATTGTCGCGAAAACGATAGGCATTACTGTAAAATGATTGTTTTTTGCGATTACAAGCGACAATATAGAAACGTGAAATAAATAGTACTTAAAAGTTAGTTACTATATTTTAAACCAGGATTTTGGTATCCAAACGTTGAACCTAATTTAGATTCAATTTTGGTTATTGAACCTAATATTTGGATCGTAAAATTTAATAGAGTAAGACTTGAAAGGCTTTCACTTCGTCCTCTCAACTCCTGCCAATTACACATTTTAAATCGGATTCCTAATAGTAATTAATATTCGGCATATGTCACGAATCATTTTCATAATAAAATCACTAAAGCATAAAGATAATAAAATTTGATAAAATTTTAAATGAAATGTGGTACTATTTATGAACAAGTTTAAAAGGCGTCGCAGAAATTGATCGAATCCTTATAATTTTTTTGCCGAGTATTTAATAATTACAGCTATATTAATAAAGTTTATTCTTTATCTTTTATAATTGCACGAATTTTCAATAGAAATACTTTCATATTTATCAAGAACATTTTTCATGACTTATTTCCACCTTTATTATGATAATAAACCCACACACATACATCTTACTCTAAAAATCTAAGACATTATCACTGTTTCTCAGAAAACGATACCAAATTCTTCTAAACACGATTCTCATTGTGACCATCATCAAGCTCAACAGGTTTCTGAGCATTTTCTTTTGCACCATTATCATATCCACGTATATGGGAACATTTTATTCGTTTGTGTGTAGGATAACTTAACACTTTTACATCTTGATCACAATATTCTGAAAATAAAGTTTCAAATACTTGAATTGATACGTGATCAATCGCATCATTTTGTATCCAGCAGCACATACATGGTTGATTTTGAGGTGTGAAAAGTCGCTCATCAATATAACAATCAAACCAAAATGCACCAGTATTTCTATTTACATGTAACGAATAATTTGGATTAGGGATTTGATGAGCTTGACAAAATTCAAATAAAAGAATACAAGGTCGACGTTTCCAGAATGAAGCAGTTTTGCGCTGATGATGGTGCCATTTATATTGATCACGAAAATTAGTTGAAGTTGTATTAAACTTGTTAAATCCTTGATCAAACACAGCTTCATGGCAACATCTTGCTTGCTTATGTACAGGATATTCAATCTCACATCCTCTAAATTCACTAAGTTCGATATATAAAATTTCAAAAGCCTGAATTGATACATAATCAATCGCATCATTTTCAATCCAACAATTAAAGCAAGATTGTAATGGATTGAAATAACGAGCACCAATCGAACAATCGAACCAAAACGCACCATCAGATCCAATTTTTAAAGAATAAACAGGATCGGGAAGTTCATGAAATCGGGTGAATTCTTGTAAAAGTACACATGGTCGCATATCCCAAAATAGAGACCATTTTTCTTGAAAGGAACGCCAGATCAGTCGAGTATCTTGCATGATATCTATAGCGTCAGAGTTGAATATAGAGCTAATAGAATAATAAGTGGTATCCTTGAACAATTTATCAGATTCGTCACGTTCAGATGTTTTATTATTATGATTAAAATTTAGAGCTGACTTTGTAACAGATTGATCATTAGATGCCTGTACATTATTGTTTGAATTATTGATAAGGGAAGTCTGATCTCTTTCAGCTTTGTCGGCTATATGGTCTTGACTGGACATACTATCGACCATCGAATTATCAGATAAATGATTTATATGCTTTGGTTTTTTGATTCCATTAAATGGATTATCTTTAAAAGTGGGGTTGATGCGTTTTCCTTTATTTTTTAACAAATTTTCATTATAAAACACGTCATCTGAAGGTAAATTTCTTGGTAAATCATCAGAACATTCATTTAATTTTTTATTTTCACAAGATTCATTGGAAGGTTTGGAATTTGGAAGGTTGCAAGGTAACATCGTCAAACTAGTTTTAATCATTTCGTTTTGAGATTTTGCACTTGAATCTTTGCTTTGACAAATGATATTTTGAAAAGTCTTATCCAAATGTAGAATATTAGACCCAGATTTAGGAATGTCTTTATTATGAATAGATGCAAGAGAAGATTCGAATTGCCATTTACACGATCCAGTCGATTCAGGAAACTTGAAAAACGATGCAAAACTCGGCAAAGTGCATATTACTCTACTATTGTTATATTCAATGAGTGGTGTATTAATACTAAATGTAGCCATATTTTGGTTAATTAAGGACCTTTTCTGCAAAAAATTACTAGGCAAAGTTTTTAAAGATACATTTTTTGCCGCTGAAATAAGTTTTCCTTTAGGTGCAGGAGTCTTAATAACTCGTGAAAGTGCAAGAGTTGATGCAACTGATTCCTTTGGTGATCCATTTTTTAATACACGAGGTATTGTATAGTTAGCAGGTGTAAGATCTTTAATAGATCTTTGACGTGAACTTGAAGGCATGGGATGATGTTTTTTGAAAAAAAAGGAATATTCTGATCAACCTACAATGTTTATACTATATATCGATATTAATAGAAATAAATGTTTTTTTTTTTCTGATCAAATTTATTGATAGCATGGTGGACAATCCTTGTAGTACAAACCTTCCGAATTTGAAATTGGTGACTCAGGGTCGATCTGTCCAATAAAAGTATGAGATT